GCGGCAGGCAGCTCCAGGAGAAGGTGAAGTTCTGTCTTGCTGCGCCCCGTTTCCCGCCGCATTGCGCACACACAGCAGCACCTACTGGTTCTCCTCCCTGGCGCCAGGCAGCGTGCAAGGGAAACAGAGAGGACAGTCCCCGCCGTTAGACCTGGACAGTCCCAGTCCAGCTCCCTGCCCAGAGAGCCTCTGGCCTCCATGACCTTCCAATGGGCCAACAGGGGGAGGGGCACGCAGAGGAGCGTGGGTGTCAGGGGCTTGAACCGCCCCTCTGGAAATGCCCCACCCCAGCTTGAGTCCCTGTCTCACCCAGCTTCTGTGACGCACACAGCTCCTTCCCGCCTCCGCCCCACCCCCACTCCAATCAGCGGGGGGGTTTAAACAAGGCAGGATCAGGCAGCCGGTGGGCCTGGGGCCCCGGATCCTGCCTCTGCAGGAGAGAGGAGAACCATGCGGGGAAGGGGAGAAGCCAGCTGGCAGGCACCAGAGACAAACCCACCAGACAGATGGGCCAGGAGGCGAAGCAACCCGACGAGAAATAGGGACGAGAGTCTCCACCAGAGGGCGAGTTGGGGTTTATTGCTCACAGGGAGAGCGTGAGCTAACCCGGGGAACGCGGGAGACCGGGCCTCCGCACAGGGGCAAGGGCAGACTGCGTATGGGTGGAGAGGGGGGGAGAACGCAGGAAGGGTCAGACAGGGGCCTGAGCACGAAGCTCACACAGCGAGCACGAAGAATCAACAATGCACAGCCGCAAGCAAGCCAGAGGAGCCCGGAAAAGGCGCCACATTCAGCTGCAGCGACAGACACACAAGGATCTCAGACGTGCTCAGGGACGCGGGTGCAGCGAGCGTCCACGAGGCCCCAGCTGTGCACGACTGCGTAGCTAAGTGGGGGAGGGACGTGGCCACGGTGGCTGTAGACAGGTACCAGTCAGCGCAGTCCACACAGGTGGGCAGATGGGAGCTGGACAGTGCTACGTCCTGCCCCCCAGGGTGGATCTACCAGCTGTCCCATGTCCAGCTAGGGATGGGTCTGCGGCAG